GGGGAGAGGGATAACAGGAGGCTTGGTAGCTTCCCACATCCAGGACCAGGATGCTGGGGTGTGGATGTTTCTAGCTACAGAAACGCATCAGAAAGTTAAGAACTAAATACAGGGCCTGGGAATTTAGCTCAGCGGCATAAGTGCCTGCCTTGCAAGTGTGTGGTTGGTCGTGAGTTCAATCCCTGGAACTGATGGAAAAGAAAAAGACCAAAAAAAAAAAAAAAAAGAACTAAGCACAATTCTAACAGGCCTTGGAGAAATCAGGCAGCAGAACTAGAAAGCATCAAGCTGCTTTGGGTACAGTTTGCTTTTATTCTGGGTCTGCAGGCATGTCTGTCTGGGCTACTGAATTAAACTCTTTCAGCCAGCTCACTTTTCCAGCTGTCTTCACCACTGCTTCTTGAACAATTGATTTGAATCAACGGCACGGTCAATTCAGTGTCTCATCAAAACTGGCTGCAAACAATGGATCAGACTTCTTTCTCTACTTGTGTCCCGGCAGCCTAGAACTGTGGGTAAGGTTCTGATATCTTAGCAGCAGAGTCTTCAAAATGAATGTTCTTGGGTCGTGTTATAGGCGGGCATTCAGAGACAGATGTGCAGGCTTTGTGAGCTTGGGGCAGAGTAGGGAAGGAACACGAGGACAGTGAATATCACCACCAGGGAGGAGTGTCAAGTCTAGGGGTATCTGAAAAATATTGGCATAGCTGCACTGCTAAACAAGAATGAATCCTGCTAGCTTTGGTTATCAAAAGCAACAACATGATTTACAAGCATAATTTAATAGCTGGAAATATATCTTGCCCACCCAAGGTGAGCATAGCTCCTACACTGAATTCATGTCCCTATGCATAAAGATGAATGAGGGAACAGAGAGGCGGCCGAGGCAGTCCTGCCCTTAGCCAATTCTCCCTATGCTATCTCAAATCTTCCCACAATTTCCCAGCTTTCTCCAAAGTATTTTCTTTTCTAAACTCATAGAAAAAGGGAAATACGCAAGGCTAAGCCCTTCGATCCAAAGCAATTTTTTACCCTTTCCGTCCAACGATTATAGTTGCAGTAAAAAACAAGCTGACTCTGTTTAGATCAACTCATGGGGAACTCATAGTACATCCCAAAACGGAGTGTTGGAGAGGATTTGACAGTTCATTGCTCAGGGATCTAGAAAAAGTTCCTCACTAAATCAGGCAGCAAAGTAGTCCTGTTCCAGCAGTGATGTGGCCTAGAAGGAAACACAGAGCTCTCTGGGATTGTAATTAATTTTTGGAAGAAGAAAAGGCGGCACAAAGTATTCCCTTGATTTCCTCTAGAAATAAGCAGGGAACTCAAAGAGGAAGGGCTGTGTCGGTGAGCTGCTTCCTAACACCTCCTTTTCCTGATGACATCCTCCCAGGCTTCCCACCATGCTGCTAAGTGTCGCTCCCCCTGCCCACCTTCCTCCATCCCTCCCAGGCCTGTGCAGGCAGTGGGAGGCCCCTGACTTCACCAACTGCGTTTGTAGCATCCTAATAGCTTCCTGACCCATCTGTTAATTAGCCATTTAAAAAAAGAAGAAGAAGGAGAAGAAGCAGCAGCAGCCCCAGAATTCCTCCCTCAGAATGGTTCTCATTTCCAAGACATTAATGAATCAACTCAGGGCAAGGAGGAGGGAACAGGTTCGGATATGAAACAGCTTGCAGGGAATAGAATGTGAAAAGGAGGCGGCCTCCTAGCCCTTTCCTGGGCATAGCCCACATCCCACCTCCTTCCTGGAGAACAGCACAGCCCAGGGAAGCAGACAAGCTAAGCAGACAAGCCCAGAGAAGCACTGCAGAGCCACTGAATAAACACTAACCAGCGGATACCTGCAGTCAGCTAGCTGGCGCTTCAGCCTGAGCAGTTTGTAAAAGAGGGTAAAGGTAGAGGTCTTGGAGGGAAAAGCTTATCAGGAGAGGCTGGCTGTCCCCGTGCAGAAAATGGCTCTTCATTTGATCCCTGTGTCATCGCTTTCTCCTTTACGGGGTCCTCCTGATGGGGTCTGACTCGGTGTTCATTGCAAGAATCTGGAGAGTTGGGAGTTTCCCCTCCAGACACTGACTTCTCATTCAGAGAACGACAGCAAGGTCTAGTCGCTTCTAGAAGAAATGAAATTATTCCTGCAGGGGATGTCAGGAAGCCCTGCCCTAAGTGATGCCTGTTCACAGCAGAGAGCAGAGGGCTGCGAACACAGAGGCAAAGCAGATGGCCCAGCCTTTCCTTCAGCCCTTTTAAACTCCCACAAATACCCTTTCGATGAGGCTGTTCTCACTGAAACTCCCTAGGCTCAGGTCAGGTTGTTCAAGTAACATCTTCAGGGAGGAGCATGCATCAGAACAGCTCTATTTTTCAATTCAGCAAGGAAAAGTGTTTGCTAACTGTTTCAAAGAATGTGTAAGTAAAAGTACATTCTCCTTCTTCTCCTTTGGACTCTGACAGTGCCCTTTCTTTCTGCTCCCGTTTCCCTGAGAAGAACTCACTAGGATGTGAATGTCTGTCTCCTCCACCGCTCCCTTCTCTTCTCTGCTTAAATTCCCCCATAAGGGGCATAAACACCAACCAGGAAGGCCAAGCAGCCACCTCTGAGATGGGAACAGACAGAGCCGCCCACGCTCCCGCCCAGGAGTCTCAGTGACTTGAACATGCACCCTGCCATGCTGAAAAAGAGGAGAATGGGATTGGACGCCCCTGTGCTGAAGGTACCCAGACTGAAAATAAAGTTTCCCAGACCTGCCCAAGGTCGTCTGGAGAGTCCTAGGTGGCTCTCTCATCTCTCAGGCCCTCCTCTCCTGCCTCTCCTCCACCATCACCATGTATACAGAGGGGCATCACCCCTCCAACCAGCCACAGATGATGGTTCCCAAAACGCTGATCAGGAAAGACTGCAGGTCCTGGAAGAGGAGCTGCAAACTGAATAAAATCTGCAGGTCAACTTGAGGGAGAAACATTCCATATTTGTATAATGGTCAGAAGGTTTGAAATTCACCTCTTTTCCCAAGCTTTCCTCTCTTCTCCAGCCCCAGACAGTAAAAGACCCCAGGACATCACCATAATTACCCTTACGGGTGACAGAGACATCTAGGCATCAAAGAGAGAAGAAATATCCAGAGCAACAGTGACTTATCAAGGGTCTCATGCCAATATCAGAATCCAAAGACATTTGCTGTAAGCAAATGAGACCCCTAGAGCATCGTGAGAGATTATGAATAAATTCAGTATGAAGCAGCAGAGTGAGGGTAGCAGGCAGTTTTATCTAAGATGCACAGAACAATACTCAGAGAAGAGATGGAGACAGAGAAACACTCGTGAACATCAACCAACAAGAGAAAAAGGCTTGGTAAGAGGGAAGAGATGGACCAGTACCTCTGCTTTGGGAAAATACCTACCCATGTGCAATTCCTTATCTGCTCCCTAAGCTGACCCAAGACAAAAGCTTTTTCCAGCGAGACCTGAAGAAGGGAATATTTTGCCCTTATTCTGCCCCCTTGTCCATCTGTCCTTTGCATGTGAGAGCCAGGACTGTTTGCAGACCATTACTCAAAATTGTCCCATCAGTGCGCAGACCAGTCCAGGCAAAAAAGATGTGGAGTTTAGCTCTATTACCTGAGAGATAAGCCAGGGGAACAAGAGAAGTTGGTGACAATCTAGAGTAATGGAAGTTATAAATGGGTGCTCCCTTCGGAGTCACCCTAATTCCAGCACTTTAGAGTACCCACACTTTATGTAGTTGACTCAATAAAACCTGCAGGGAGTAATATCTTTTCTCAACATCCACAGTATCAAGATGGGGGGAAAAACCAGCTCTTTCAACATGGCTAGAAATTTCTATCTGGCTTCCTTTCTCTTTAGCAAGGTAGGAGTGATTAATGTCCACACCGGTGAAGGAAGGTGGTTTTCAGGCCATGAGAAGAACAAGGAATAGAAATGAGCTAGAAATGGATGCTTCATAACAGGGTCAGGTGGCCAGCTAGGAAGCAGAAATATTGTGGCAGCGGAGGGTCCTGGATACTAGGGCAGTACTTACATCATGAACCAGAAAAGGAAGCATTTCCAGTGGCTGGATTTGGGGTCCCTAAGGGACCATGTGGAACCACAGCCAGCCACCAAACTCCATGAAGACACTGGCAACAGAGCTAACTTTGCATCCCTTGGGTTCCATGTTTGGGAAAGAAACCTAATGCTCTTGTTACCCCTTGCTTGGGCATCCCAATGGACCATTCGGGAGCCAGAGCGATGGGAAGGAGGGGGTCAGGGAAGGACCACAGAACCGCGGATTGACCTCGACTTTGTAAGCTCTTGACCTAAGCTTTGGTAGGAGGCAGGGGCCACTGCCCTTTCCAGGTGTGCCATGAAAGATACCCACCAAGCAGAACACTGCAAGAACTGTTAAGTCAGAAGTTCTGCCTACTGGTCTTAAAAGAACAAGTCCTCCTGTCTCAGTGGGGAAGAAAAGCAACCCACTCCAAGACACACCATCTGCGCTTGGTCAACAGGAAATGGAGAAACCGGTCTTTCTTCTTCCCAGCAGAGGCAGCCTTTCCCTAACACCCCATTTCTCAGGCCTCAGACCATCCCAGGATACCCCAAAAGACCGGATGCTCTTTGCTGTAAGATTCCAATACTGTTCAAGCCCCCATCGAAGATGACATTTTGTTCTTACCCCGACAACTAAGTGCCCTATAAGCCTAGATCAAAGTGCCCACATGTCATGAAGACCATGCTAGAATTAGTAAAATCCTTGTGCTGGAACTTTGCAGACTCCACGGACTCTTATACTGCCTTTACAAAATACCACCACTGCCAAAGCCGGCCCTGCTGGTTCTAAGGCAATGTAAAAGACTTAGGGGATTTGCTGTATGCAAAAGAAAGGACAGTGACAGTGAATGGGAGCACCAGCGAGTGCCAGAGGACTAGGGGGGTGTAGCAGGAGAGGGAGTCAGGGAGGCCACCGCGAGGCCAGGCCAGGCCCGGGGGCTGCCTCTCACCTGTGGATGTTCATCTCCCGTGGAGGACGGTGGGCCTTGTCATAGGAGACCTTGGCGAAGACGCCGGCCACGATGACGAAGGCGATCACCCCGCAGGTGATGTAGACGGTGAAGTTGGTCTTGTCCTTCTCGGGGTCGTACTTGTTCTCGGGCCCCGGCGACACCACCCTGGTGCTGGGCGTCTGGACCCACACGGGGCTCTGGTAGTTGGTGCACTGGCGCTGGTCCAGCTTCTCGTGGCGCTTCTTGCAGCAGAAGCGGTAGTAGCAGGTTCCGCAGCAGTACAGGTAGCCGCTCTCGCTGTTGTTGCACTCGAACGCCTTGTCGTACTGGCCGCTCACGTCGTAGTAGCCCCAGCACGTCTCGTAGGTGACGGTCGAGCTGGCCGCGGCCGCCACCGCCACCGGCGCGGCGGGCTGTCCCCGCCGGCTGCCCGCCTCCGGGAGCCGGGCGGTGCCGTTCAGCTCGCGGCCGCCCCGGGCCAGGGCGCCCCCGGGACGCCGGCCCCCGACGGCAGCGGCAGCGGCAGCGGCGCCGGCGCCCGCGCTCAGGGTCCGGTTGGCGGCGCGGCCGCGGGCGGCGAGAGCGCGGGGCGGCGGGTCCAGCGACTCCAGCGAGAGCAGCAGCAGCAGCAGGAGGCGCCGCAGCGCCATGGCGGGCCGGCGGGCGGGCGGGCTGCGCGGGAAGCTCGGCGGCAGCCGGGCCCGCCGGCGGGTCGGAGCGCGGCTGGGCGGGCTGGGCGGTCAGCGGCGCCGGGGCGATGGCGCCATCGAGGCGCGGGAGGGAGCGAGGGAGGGAGGGAGGGAGGGCGGCGACGGCGCGCGGTGCGCACGGACCGGCCCGCGCGGGCTGCTCGGGCTCTCACGCCGCGCGCCGGCTCGGCGCTCCCCCTGCGGGCTCCGCGCGCCTCCCGGGCAGCCCCATCCCCCGCGCGCGGCTCCGGGCGGCGGCGGCGGCGGCGGCGGCAGCGTGCTCCCGTCCGGGCGAGTCCTGCGGGACAAGACGGGAAGCGGTCACCGGGAGGGCGGGAGGGCGCAGCCCTCGAGCGGGAGCCGGTCCCGGCCCGGGGGGAGCTCCGGGACGGCCCCGAGCGCCGCCGGCCGCCCAGCCCAGCCCAGCCCCCCGGTTCCCGGCGCTCTCCCGCCCGGGCTGGGCTGGCTCCCCGGGACGGAGCCGGCGGAGCCCGGAGTCCGGCGGCGCGCTCACTCACTCACCATGCCCGGCTGCGGCTGCAGAGGCGGCGGCGTGGAGGGAGCGCAGCGCAGCGCAGCGGAGCGGAGCGGAGCGGCCGGGTGAGCGAGCGGAGCCCGGCGCCGCCGGCTCGCAGCCTGCACTAGTGCCTGAGCGTGTGCGAGCGGCGGCGAGGGAGACACGCGCGCTCGCACAGCCGCACACACACACGGGAGCGCCGCGAGCGGAGGGAGGGGAGGGGAGGGGAGGGCGGCCGCTCACCGCCGCCCACGTTTACACGCCCGGGCGCCCCAGGCGGGGGAGGGGTGCCATAGGACTCCTTTTCTCTTCCTCCACCCAGTGCCAGCCCCAGGCACTTGAAGCTCCTCGTCGCTGGTCACTGAAGCCCAGGACACGGTTAACAAGACGGTGAAGGGGGCAAAGATGGGTCCCCTCTGGGCCTGCAGAAGGGTCAGACCTCTCTCCACGGATTCTGATTCAGCTTTCGCTGAGGGTCACTCCCTGACCGCACCAGGGTTGTGGGCTTCCAGAAAGGGATTGGGGTTTCTATAAGTCTTTGCCTCTCCCTAGTGGTGATGCTGACAACCAAGAAAAAAGATCAAACCCATTGCTACAGGTTCCTAAACTGAGACCAGGGGTCAAGGGGCTTATGTGAGAGGATTGGGCTACAAAGTGTGAAGAAGCTAGCTCTGGTCCCCTTGAACACTTTACTCCAGCGGGCACAAAGACACAAGAAGGACCCGGCTCTGCGTGGCATCTGGGATTCTGTCTTCTTTTAAAGGAGTAAAACAAGCTGTCTGGGCTTCTAAGACTCAGCTTTAAAATTCCTTTGTCCCTGGACTGAAATCTCTGTGTTGCAGCTGACTGAGGGGGTCCATTCTTGTGCTTATCCAGAGATCTGCAGAAAGGAGACATGCGCCTAACTTTCAAAGTTAGCAGGCCACCCCAAGAGGGAGTCTCAATCACAGTTTTTGGCGTGTATCTTTTGAGAAAGCGGCAGCGAGGGGGGGTGGAATCTGAGAACAAACAAACAGTCTCCAAGACCAAAATCCTACCTTTCTACCCAGCGTGTTTTGGTTGGAGACAATGACAGGCTGTCAGAGTGATGGCCACAAAGAATTTTACCGGAAACTAGCCTATCGGTCCTAGTTAGGTGTGACCCAAACCACAGATCCCCATCCAGGAAAAGCCAGTTCCCTTTCTGGCAACCGTGGAATGGTAAAATGGAGCTGGAAACAGACAATGATGGAGACCCTGACACTAGCACCTGGTGACTGTATACTGCCCTGGCATTGTCAGTGTAGTAAGTGCTAAGATAAACAATAAAAAGGTGGGGGCCAAGGATATAGCTCAGGGGCATAATCACCTCTCTGGCAAGCACAAGTTCCCGAGTTTGATTACTGGTACCGACAAGCAAACAGAAGACTAAAAAGATGAGCCTGCCCGTTGGCAAGAGGAGTAATCAATGATTTGCAGATAACATACTTATGTTCCGTGACAGAGGTGGGCAAAGTTTTGTGAGAGCAGGCACCCAGCTTAGCTCCTGGCAGGGACAGAGCGCTGGAGGTCACAGACAGCTTTGCCAGGGAAGTGAGGAACAGAAGCTTGGAGGATGATTAAGAGTTAATAACAGACAGCTAGGGAAGACTGTTCCCTGCAGAGAGAACACGAAAACAGGAAGCTATAAAGTGAAGGTGTATGAGCTGGGGATACAGTTTAGCAAAATCCCTGAGAAGTCTTCCAAGTAAGACCAGCAGACAGGTGTTGAATCTCCTGCCAAACAATTTGAATTTATGCAGCAATTGGTGGGAAACTATTAATGGCTTTTAATTAGGGGGAAAGACAGTGTCAGAATTACATGTTTATCAGATCTCTAAGTACATAGGAGTAGGAAACTGATTAGAGGGAAAGCATGCCTCTAATCCCAGCACTCTGGGAGGCTGAGGCAGGAGAATTAGAAGGTCAAGTCTAGCCTGGCAGTTTAGCAAGACCGTGTATCACAAGAATAATAATAATTGTTTTAGGAAAAGGCCTTTAGAGAAAGGCCTGGGTTCCATCCCCATCGCTTTAAGAGAGAAAGACAAAGACAGAGAAAGAGGGAAAATGAGAAAGAGAGAGAACATGAGAGAATGCAGTAGATGACTGGTGGTTGGAGATGAGAAGCCCAAACAGCAGATTCAGGATAGTGAGCCTGTGGAGCTGTCCAGCACCAGAGCTGAAAATTCAGTAGAGAAGACAGGCACACACATTTGAAAATCCTCACATATCTATAGACAACACCCCTATGCCTTTTAAATCCTTATGCCACGTGCAGTTTCTAAGCCACTCCCACCCTGTCTCTCTGCCTCTCACCTCATGAGCTGTCATCATGCTGAGATTCATTTCTCCTTACCTGGGAATAGTACAAGGAATAAGGCTTTGTTACATGGAACACTAATAAGATTTGATCAGCGGCTCTGAGTAACAGAAATTTATTCGGCTTCTTAGGTCACCCTCCTACCTGAAAAGGTGTCCTGAATTCCCATGCTTATAAATGGTGGCCTTGGGAGACCCACAGAATGGAACAGTGTCTCAGGATTGGGTAGGATCTTCAGGATTATTCATTCCAAGTCCCTTTGCAGTGTACCATATTTTTGATTAATTTTTCTGCCCCCCTGGTTTGCTTTTGGCATTGACCAAGTCACATGCCCACTACCATGGCTTTTTCTCTTTTCTCTTTCTAATTTCAATATCTGAATTGTCAGTAGTATTGAAGCATCTTTCCTTTGAGGCTTTGACTCATTAAAAAGTCTAGGGTAGAACCATCTTTTCCAACACCCACACTAATTTTAGACAGTCCTGAAATTCAAGAAGCAGAATTTCACTTTCTTGCTCTAAAAGAAGGTTCCCAGTTGGGCTGCATCGAACCCAATGATTCTATTACCCTTAGCAATGATTGGTTAAGAAAGGTCATGTGATCTAGTTTTCACCAATACTAAGTAAGAGAAGTCCATTTGCAGATTTTGGGTGGGGGAAAATTTCCTTGCTCTTAAAAATAGTGATGTCTCCCATTCTTTTTGGAATAGTATTTCCCTGGATGGTATTACCTGGGAGTATGGGGGGGAGGGGGGCAGCTGCAGATTAAAATTGATATTTGCTTTAATCACCATCTACATTACTTAGTGTCTCTGTTTTCCAAGCACATAGTAGAATTCCAACTCTTGGCCCATTTATAAATAGGAAGAGAAGAATCACTATTACTGGTCAATGAGCAGCAAAAATTAAGAGCAGAAGTTGTGTTTTGTTTCTGAAGCAGGGCAGCTAATTGCTCTGCAGACCCTGTATAGTACTTGTTCCCTTCTGGCACGGTAGATTCAACCATGTTCTGTATGGAAGTGGTTTTGTCCACAAGGATTCTGAACTAACTACAGTGAGGACTGCTCTAATATCCCACCATGGACATGTAGTGTGAATAGAAGATACATAGACTTTGTTTTTGAAGAACCAATAGAATCCAAGTCCACTATTGCAGCATACTCTAGCCCGTCCTGGCTGACGTGCTGAGGTTTCAGCTAAAATGTTGGAGCCACTCATAGAACTATGCACCGGGCCCTCCCAACTCTGGTCTGCTAATAAAGTGAGTTAATTAAATTTCCTTTGTTGTACCCTTTCTGAATCCAAAATTCCTTTTATGGGTAGACATAGCATTCTTCATGAACATCATATATCCTCTTGGGTTTGATTTTCTCTCTACCTAGCTACAATAATCATAGCAGTTGTATAAGTTTCAGTGTTCTTCTCTTTAAAATGGGAGCCTAGGTAGAGAGAGTGTCACCCCTATTTGTATGAGTCTTTCCTGTGACCTCCACTTATGAACTTGGCCCCGAAGCCTAGCATGGTTCTCCTGGTGCCCTTCTGAGCTCACGCTCTCTTTACTCCTTCCCTCTGGCTACAGTAGTGCTCTTTCTCTGTCTTTGCACTCGCTGTGCCCTCTGTCTGTATGCCCTCCCCAGATGCAGGCAGGTACTGTCTCACACCCTCTAGGTTTCTGCTTCAATTTCACTAGTTCAAGCAGAAGCTACCATCTTCCCCCATCACATGTTGTGAAGATAGAACCTCACCACTGTCATAAGTGTTTCCATCACAGCAATTGTCACTAGCTTATCTACATTCATTTAGGTATGTTTAGGCATTTTTAAAAATTTTATTCTTATTTTCTGCCGAATGCTTGCTCTTGCTTGAACTTTATTGACTACCGTACGTCTCGATTCCTACAGCTGAGTTCAGCACATAGTACCTAAGCTACAGTGAGCACTGTGGGGCTCATCCTCACCGTGCAGCTCTTCTAGGGTCTGCCTTAACTGCAGGAAGGTGTATTCTGGAGAACGCTGCCCGTCTTCCCCAAAGATTTCAGTGCTAGCTTCTAATGATGTTAGTGGTGCCGAAGCATGGCCAGTTCAGTACAGTGAAAGAGCTTTTACAGGCTGTATTTTCTCTTAAGTCTGCGAGTTCCACGGGGTCAACATTTTGGTGGCTCTGTATTACGCATGCTCAGTTCTATCTCCTCCTCCTTTCCTCTAGTGCTGCTCTCTTAAAAATAGCTTGTCTGCCAAATTCTGTTTCGGCATGTGTTTTGGAAGATCTGAGCCTGCACCACAGGCAGGCCGTAAACATGTGCTGAGTTGATAAGTGGATGAGTGGGTTTCAGCTTTCCTCAAGGCATCCCTACAAGTGATGATAGGGCCTTTGCTTTATCCTATCTGGTGACAAGTTAGAAACGATCTCCTAAGGCCACCAATTCCGGTGTTAAATAGTTGTAATAGTCAGAAAATGAGAGTACATTAGCTTTTGTCAGTGTTGCTGTTAGGCAAATCAATTTATTGGTTCATACTGAGCTTATAGTCAACTAGAGTGTTTTTCACATAACAAAGACATTTCACACGCATGTGAATACTTCACACATATTCTAGTTCATCGGAAACATTGGAGCCCGTTATTCCAATCTTTTAACCATTTGAGGAACTTGCCATCCAACGTTGCTATTTCTCTCCATGTCGTTGATATTTTTTTCCTTAGCTCCCAACTTATTCCTGGCTGTCTTCTAGCCCTAGACTGCTATCTGCCTTTTCTTCCATTCTCCTCATTCCATGAGACCTACGTGGAGTTTTATAGGGCCAAATTGAGCCCTAACTCATCAGAACTTTTTAGCTTGGCTATGCAGAGTGGCCAGTGGT